AAAAAAAAAAGGGATTAGACGGACTAATGCGCGCCTTTTAATTGGAAAATACATTTTCCCGCATTTCCCGAATTCGACACGTTTTGATCGTGCGTCGCTCCTTTTCCCCTTTTTTAGAACAATGCTAATTATATCCACCGAGCATTCAAAACTTATTTGTCTCTCTCTCTTTCTCTTCTTTTCCGGCACTTATTTCCAAGAAAAAGAATTGAAACTTTGAACTATCAAACTGTAAATAACATTGCATTCAGTTCATTCTGAATTTATATTCCAATTAACCAAAAACAAAGGAGTTTTTTACTAAATCAAAGCAAGATACAAGTACTCTCCCAATTCTGATCAATTAGAAAATAAAGATTCATCAATTTCAATCTTAACCACCTCTCCATCATCATACTTATCTTTCCTCGGCGGCGCCGGCGGTACGGAAACCCTCGGCGGTCCTCTTCCCTTATTCTTGTCCTTCGGCCTCGCCTATATTATTATTTATCACGAATATTTTCCAGATTACCAAAAGAATTTGAAAAAATAAATAAATAAATAAACTGCCAAATGGGTTGGGTACCCAAAAATATTGAGAAAACTCACATTGCCAAAGGAGTGATTGAAACGCTTGCCTCTAGCAGTCTTCTTGTCCCCTCTGCCACAGTATACTGCAAAAACAGAATTAAATTACCATTATTACCTATGAACATGCGGTGGAAGACTTTGCGAATAGGGTCGAAGTTGAAGATGATGAAGCCGCAAGTGGTGCGACTACAAAGCAGTCACGACGTTGGGTGAAAAAGTGATGGAGGACAATAGGTGGTAAGGTGGGATTAGGGTTTCTGGAGTTTAGGATGGTTGTGATGGCTGAAGTTGTTGGGGTGGTCGACATGATGGATTAATTTTTGCTTTAAATTATGATTTTTGTGCAATCTATAGGAGAAGAATATGAAGGTTATGGGTTTTATACATAGGAGGAATTCTAGTTTGTAATACAAGTAATACTAGGACAGGGATAAATTTTCCATTAGCAGTAGGGACATGGATAAAGTTTTCATCGTCGACGGTGGTATTGGCGGTGACGACGATGGTTTTTTTGGATTGAGGTTTTGGTTCGGTGGGAAGAAGGAGATGGGTATGGCTGGATATGGTCCGGTTTGATTCAGTACTAAAGAGAACTGAACCAAACCCGAAATTTTCGGGTATTTAGTAAATGGAACCGTCAGATCTGAATTTAATTATGGAACCATTCGAATTCGATTCCATTCGGTTTGGTTCAGTTCGATTCTATTCAGTTCCAAGATTTTGTACAATAATTAAGTTTTTTATATTACAACAATGTTACATTAATTCGATTATGATATATTCATTCTTAACTCTTATTAAAAAACGTAGTCCAATCTCGTGATATCTTTTGCACCTCTCTTTGTTGAATTCTTCATAAATTTAATTTTTAAAATCACGGGAAGATGAAGATGGTTAGTTCACAATAATAGAACGGTATAAACGACACTATGATAGAATAAAAGATTTGGGTAAAATTTAGATCAATTTAATTAAGTTGGGCTGGCTGAAAATTAAAAATAGTAAAATCATATTTTGGGTATGGACTAAATTAATTAGTTAGCAATTTATTTATAAAAAAATCATTTGACTTATTTAAAATAAAAAAATTAAGGAGATTCAGTTCTTATTCGATTCTTAGTCTAGAACTGAAAACCAAACTAAACTTGTCGGTTCTCGATTCAGATACTGGTTCGAGTATTTAATTTAAAAAGAACAGCTCTGTTCCGTTCAATTCAGTTCGAGAATTTTGTCAAGCCCTAGAGATGGGGGATGGGCTCTGGTTTTATTATTATTTTTTTAAAAAAAATTATTTAATAGGAGAAACACGATTTGTCCAAAATACCCTACTTTATTTGAGTCAAATAATGAAGTTTTTGTATTTTGAGAGTCACGATGGTACAAATAAAAGGTTTGGATAAAGTATGTTATTAAATGAAATATTTGATACTATGGCTACAATTTTTCCTTTTAAATATGGGAAAATTTCATTTCTCCTACTTTATCTTTATCATATTTCAAAAATAACAAAACAACTTCACATTTCAAAAATCAGATATTTTAACACACACACACACACACACACACACACACACACACACACACACACATATATATATATATATATATATATATCCCACCCCACCCCACCCCACCCCATTGCTTCGACTACCGTTTCGACTCCGGCGACCGTTCCGATGACTGCTTCGGCAACATGAATTTTTTTGTACAATCACAGTCCAGGTTACAAGTCACAGCTCATGTCACAAAGTCACAATGCATATTTGTTTGTTTATAATAATTGATGACATGATAAGACTCATGTCTTACATCTTTGTTAATAATCACAGGTTTATTCCACATAGCCACGGCACAGGACACAAAATATTTTGCACATGGCTCAATTTTTATTTATTTTTAATTCACATGTTATTTTCAAATGGTCACAGCGCAGTTCACAGAATATATTGCACATAACTCACGATTTTGTTCATAGTCCCATGTTATTTCCAAATGTCCATGGTACAGGTCACATAATATTTTTGCACATGACTCAGGTCATAGCATAGGTCACAGCACATGGCTCCAAGTCACAGTATTGGTTACAGCACATGGCTCCAGGTCATAGCATTGGTCACATACACTATACAGCACCAACGTCACCACCACCACCGTCTTACATGCCATAACCCTAATCCACCGCTGCTACCACAGCCAGCAACTCACCACAACCACCATCACCAACATCACCAACACTGCCTCACCAATCGGAGGCAAACTAAAAATCATGATAATCTCCAGCACCAACAATATCACCGCCACCACCACAGAAATTATTAGATCCACAAAACCACCACCCCCGCCAACACGACCGCCACCAACAAAATCACTGCACGACCACTGCGAAACAAAGATCCAAAATCTGCATAATCGCCACCACCACCGTTTACATAACACCAACCACCACCAATAAAAACAGTCTAAATAAAAATCATTCCAACAACCAATAAAACCAATCATCAATACCAATGGCGCCTCCACCACCACCCACCTTATTTTCATCAATCAATTCAATTTCTATAGACAAGTCCTTCATCATACTCTAAAATCGATTTCCAGAAACAAGAAAATGAACCAATATAGACAAACTGTAGGGCAAGAGACAGGGATGAAAACGATTCGGACCTCCAGTTTTACCAAACATGCTGCTTCAAATACAATTTTACCAAACATGCTGCTTCAAATTCCAGGATCTGAACCTGTGACCTGAACATCCGCGAGAATCAGGCACCAGGTCTAGATTTGTAGCGATAGAACTTGCCAAAGACGAGGAGTGCATGATGAAGCAAAGTCACAAATTAATCAAAACCACAGAGACTCGTTCCAAATCACACACACAGAGAAGCACGACGTGGGTCGCACAATAGTATTTGAGCACGGTGGTGTGGCGTCTTCTCAAACAGTCCGATGGTGGTCGTTTCACTTCATAGCGGCAGAGACCGTGGCTGAGGGGAGAGTGAAGGAGAAGACAGGATTTCGGTGGGCATGACGGCGGCGCAACGGTGGCAATGAGGGAGAGGAGAGGACTGAGAGACGCAGAGAGCGAGAGAGAAGTGAGACACGTGAATTTAGGGGTGGGGTGTATCTATATATAAAATATCTGATTTTGAAAAATTAAAACTTGAAATCTGATTTATAAATTTAAATCTTGAAAAGTAGGGCTTGATGTAATTACCACTTTAAATATTTACAAACTCAATTTTTATATGATGAAACTAGCTCCAACAAAGGTGTAAGAAGTGTCAGGTTAATCTGGGCCACTTGGGTTGAGATACGGTACACCCAAAGGCCCCAACATAGCCCATAAAAGATATTATTTGGTCTTTTCATTTCAATATTTACCTAATATGTTGGTCATATGAATTATGATAGGAATTATGATAGACAGGTGATGTTCATGAACCTTGTCAATACTGGCAAAGTATATAGTACAAATTAATGGGGGCGGGACAACAATGCAAGGAAAAAGTTAAAAAACCTACTTGGTCCCTTGTGACTCCATTACAACCCAAGGGAATAAGTTCCATTTAATTAATGTATTTTGCTACACGTACATCCCACCCGTCAATGATAAAATATTATTTGGGCATTATGTATATCAGACTGTAAATTCTGATGTACATGTAGAATAATTCTTAATTTTATATACCTCAAAACTTTTTCGTACTCGCATTGTCCCTCACTTCACACGATCATAGGAATGAAAATGGACATGAACAGGACAGAGACAAGGGCGGACCCAAGGGAGGTCCTAGGGGGCACGTGCCCCCCCAACTTTTGATTTTTTTTTTTGTAAAGTTATGTTTGGTAACGATTGAAATCTAAATTTTAATCTAAATCAAAGTTAACAATTAATTCTAATAACATATTTCATGAAATCCATAATTATTTAACTTTTATCAAAATTTACTAAAAATTTGATTTTAATCTCCACCAAACAGGGACACAATCACAATAAATTTGAATTTCGATGACAAGCTAATTTTAAAAATTCTCCAACAATCGTACGCTAATCGAATCTACAAATTGCTTATATCATCTTAAAGCTTATTTCGAGAACTACATTATGTGCATATCGAATGGTCTAAACAAATATCGAAAATAGTTAAAGGTGAGTCTTAAAAAAAAGTCTAACTCGCATTCTTTAAAAATAAAATTCAGTTATTTTATTAACATTTATTATTTTTGTGATACAAATTTCTCAATATAATTTTCATCATTTTATTATGAAATTTTATATGAAATATGATATCAAAAAATTATGAAGTTTTACATTAGAAAAAGTCATATCTCATGTAAATTTTAGGATGCAAAATTACATGAGACATGAATTTTTTGGACGTAAATTTTCGATTGTAAAATTTCTCCCAACTTCCTTTCAAGTTTGATTGTACCCCCCTAGCTTTAAACTTCTGCGTCCGCCCCTGGACAGAGGTATCATTTCCTATCACCATCTTGCAAGGGATTTTCCCGCCCCATTTTCATTCCTGCTTATGCGAGGTCACGACAAAGAACTTCCAATTCCTACAGCCATGTTTTATTTTTAATTTATTAAATTTAATTTAATTGAAATTTTCATATTATGAAATTAAGATTTTGAAGCTTGTACAGTGATTTAGTAACGTAATCCATTTGGCATTAGTGTTACATCATTTAGATTGTTATACACCGTGATGATGTAGCTCAGTAATTAGGTACCTAGTCCCAGACATACAATTCGAACATATTATAAACCAAATCAAAATAAATTCATACATGCAATGCTCGACAAAACAAAGAGCTCATAATTCCAGTGTGCAAGAATCAAATATCTATTTCTTCAGCTTTCTACCTTGTCTGCGTCCACTCCTAGTTAATGGACTTCACTTAGGAGCAGTGGGGAATTTGATAAGCACCGGTCATGCAACCTCGACAAACGTCCAAAATAAGATCCTTTGAAATCTTTTATTGTTGGCATCGAAGTTTTTCAATTAAGTTTTCACCTACTTCAAGTAGATTTGGAATATTTGCGCATGAACACGCTCGTCCTCTGGAATCTATAACGGCAACGTCAACAATATTGAAAACATTTCATAAAACTATATTCAGCCCTCATTTTCTCAAAAACTCATTTTTTTCAAAACCACACATTTTCCCATAAAATAATATTACATGTAAATCGAAAATTTTTCCTTATTTTTAAATACACGTTCTTTTAAAAAATTCATTATCCCAAAACATATTTTTCCAAAATTACATTTCAATAGAGCCCAAACAAGTGCTAAAAACAAAAATAGGTTAACACCGAAAACTAATGAAAAACAAGTTTGTCAATCTCAACGAATATTGAAAGGAGAACGAAAGTATCAATACATCTTACTCGACAATTTATATGTATTTCTTGATATTTCATTCATGTTTCTCGCCAATATAATTAATATTAACTAATAATTGTCGAGAAAAATGGAAACTAACTGTAGAGAACGACAATTCTTTGAATGTTCAAAAATACAGCTAATGTGCCCAAAAATCAAGTACTACTACTATATGGAGTTCCAACAACCAAGATGATAATCAAAACACACACTCAAGCTACATGATACACGGACGAAACTTGAACACGTATTCTTCAACAAAACAAAAATGCATCGCAACCTAACACTCAGAGCTCAATGCTTCAACTGTCTACTCGAACAAAATAATGCACATGTACCAAACAGTACAAAACGAAAATAAGTCACAACACAACCATTGAGCCCAACATTTCAACTGTCGAGCCATATAGATCAACTATCAAGACCCACAATTCAAATTTCTAACTCGACAGTTTCAACCACAGAGCCTGTATTTCAAAAAAAATCACTCAACATCGCAAAGCCTACGCAACTCCCATCCTACACATACCACAACTATTTACAACTTAGTAAACATATTTCACTAAATATAAAATTGCATCTACTAATACATATGGTCAACAATTTCCCTTCTTTTTTTTTTTGTCTGAAGAATAACTTAAGTATTATAATACATTATTTCCCAAACAACAAATAACAAAAGAACCCGACAACAAATTCACTACAAAAATAACTTGCAACTACTAATTATCCCAAAATAATTATTTAATCCTCCATATAAAAATAGATTTTTCCCACACAATAAATAACGAACACCTAAAACATAAATTATTCTCTTAATCTTGTACAAAAAAATACACATAATACAAACAGAAAAACCTAAAAATTTAGAGGAACCTAACAACTCCGAGAAAATACCTTTGATACTTGTTATCTGATTGCAGAAAATGAAGATAACTATGGCAACATTAGGAGAGCATAATGCGCCTGTGGAGCCTCGTCGGAAGTAATGAAATAACCTTTATCACTTCAAGAAAAGCCTTAAAAACGAGAACAGGGGGGAAAAATCCTGGTGAAGTGTGAATGGTTTAGGGATGGAGATTCTTTTTCATCTTTTTTTTTTTTTGAGATTGTTGATGACTTTGAGGAGAGAAAGATGTTGTTTTGCATTAGTATCGAGGGGAAGGTAAACATGTTAGTATAACTTTGAGGAAAGAGAGACTTTTTGAGGGTTTGACTAGTGATTTGATGAGAGAGAGAGAGAGAGAGAGAGAGAGAGAGAGAATGTTTCGAATAATAACCGGGGATCTCTCTAAGAGGGACCCAAAGATAAGGAAAAATAAAAGATTATTTTATGTGTACACCTTGTGGTGTACACAATTTTTTACACCCCCCTCACATAGAGGGGGGCCCACAAATATTTTATTGTGTGTGGGCCCCCCTTCATGTGAGGGGGTGTAAAAGATTGTGTACACATAGCACAATCCTTGGTTATTAAGTTGTCCAATTGTTAACCCATTTTAAGGTAGTTTAAGTGGCAACCCACTTAAAAGTTTTTTGGCCCAACTTTAGAGGTAACATAATGCATCCATATATATTCACTTGGTTTTCCAGCCGTGCATGCGCGCTATAATAGAAGGGAGAGTGTGACAAAGGGGCAGCTGGGGTTGGGGAAATTGGGAGAGATTTCAACCATTGTTGATCATCATTTCTTTCCCATTGTAGTCATCACCTTGTGTCCTTTATGAGTACTAAATAGAGAGCAACCATAGAGAGTAAAGAGGGCAACCAAAAGTGAAGGAAGTTTGAGTTGAGCCTTGGTGGTGGTGGTGTTCGTTTGATTGATTTTTTCTGAGCTCGGATCAAAATTTTTCGAAGATTATAACAACACGAACCAAAAAATTGAATTCACATCATTTCCTATTACTTCTATTTCAACATACATAAATTTCATTAAGTATTTCGCCTCAAACAAATTGATTTCATATTGTGCCCAAACAAATAACAATTCCGATTTAAAAATAAAATAAAATTAAGAAGAGGTAATTAGCACATAACGTCACCATCTTTCATTATTATCGTGGAAAACGTCCATATCTTTCATTTTTTTGGCATTTTCACCCTTATTTCTATATTTCATTGCACAAAATGTCATTTTCACATATTTTCTCAATTAAAATTTGTGAAATGGCGAATATACATTTCTCTTTAAATAAAACAAAAAGAAACGAAAAAACTAATTGCAATAATAGTCTCAATTTTTTTTTAAGAAGCGCAAATGAGTTTCAAATAAATTATTAAAATGGTAATTAGTACATAATATCCATATCTTTCACCGCTATTGCGAAAAAATCATTATCTTTCATTTTTTAAAACAGTTTCACCATTAATTACACATTTAATTGCGCAAACCATCATTTCCATCCATTCTCATCCAATTTCTCAATAAATAACTATAAAATAATGAAAATACACTCCTAATTAAACAAAAATTATTTTTTTAATTCATAATTCTTTAATAATTTATTTGTGAGTCGTTTGCACTTTTTAATTTTTTATTAAAAAATCAAATAAATTTAATTGGGATTCCTTTGCACTTTTTAAGAAAAAATATATTTTTTAATAATTTATTGGAGACTCGTTTGCACTTTTTAAAAAATTTAAGATTATGATTGCAATTAATTCTTTAATATTTTTATTTAAATAGGATGATATATTCATCATTTCACAATTTTTTTTATTGAGAAATTAGATGAAAATGATAGAAATGAAGATTTGCCCAATCAAATATGTAATTAAGGGTAAAAATCTCAAAAAAATAAAAGGTATGAAAGTTTTTTGCAATAATAGTAAAATGTAGGAACATTATGTGCTAATTACCCTTTTAATAATTTATTTAGAATTCATTTGCGCTTTTCAAAAAAAATTTGAACTATTATTGCAATTATTTTTTTCTTTTTCCTTTTGTTTTATTTAAAGAGAAGGATATATTCGTCATTTCACAATTTTTAATTGATAAAATGGATAAAAATGACATTTTGCTTAATGAAAGCTGGAAATAAAGGTGAAAATGCCCAAAAAAGAGAAAGATATGGATGTTTTTAACAATAATAGTGAAATGTGAGGACATTACGTGCTAATTATCCATAGAGAAGAACAAATTTATACATAAAAACTTTGAATGAATCTGTCATTGTTCTGCTACTTAATGACTGGGCATGCTGATAAATTATGAAGACAATCCTTCTATATTCATTGTGATACAGATAATCGGACTGGCAATGCATTGTTAATCTTTGCTGGCTGTTCGTTTCCGAATGCTGATTCAGCCAGCTCAACGGCACGGACAAGCCCGGCAGCTTTTCTTTGACACTCAATCTGCTCCTCATGGGTGTCGCTATCAGCCACGATTCCAGCTCCGGCTTGAATGTGCGCAACCCATTCTTGCTGCTTGTTGGCATCTTTGTACGAATATATTGTGTCATAACGGGCTCTAGTACAGAATATCATTGTCCCGAGTGCCAGTGCAATTTCCATATCTCAATTCCTCCAAAGCCTCCACCATAAGGACCTCGTCTTGTTACTTCAAATCTATCAATCAGCTCCATGGCCTTCACCTGCATAAGAGACGGAAGATCTAACAGAAGCAATAGCCGTAGACCTTACATCTGACAGATGAAAAGCTTGTAATTGCAGAAAGACTTGCATTTCATCGAATCACTTGTAAACAAAAAAGAGTAATAAACAAACCTTCGGTGCTCCACTAACTGTTCCAACTGGCAATGTAGCTTGCAGTGCATCCCAGCAAGATAAATGATTGAGCAACTCCGCTGTGATCTGTGAGTAAACGTTATAGTTAATTATGAAAACTTGCTTCTTTAACAAAGTCAGCCTACATTTAAAGGTGAATTTATTTGTATGATCTCACTGTAGAGCTGATATGCATCACGTGGGAATATCGTTCAACGGTCATAAGCTTTTCAACTTTAACAGAACCAGATTTCGAGACCTACATTAAGAATCCACAAAAATGTATCTGATTAAATTTATGTTTAAAGTGTAAGATATTTTATATGAAAAAGAAACTATGGATAAAGATAGAGAGGTAGTCACTTGTAAATTTACCTTTTAAATAAATCAAACCAAGAATTACTCAACAAATGCTTGATTAGTACCCATTATTTACTTATCAAATTTGTACATATCACTAAAAAAATATTACATGCATGTGATGTCTTAGACTCTTAGACAACAAGGAGAAGGGCATATACTTAACATTTGCTAGAGAAGTACATAGTAACAATGATTTCACACTTAGAAGCACTGATACAACAGATAAATATAAGTGGAAATGGCTAACATGGTTAACAAATTTCCTGTACTCAAACCTACAGGACTGCTGCCTGTTAGTAATATGAAAATATAATCCAGCCACCTGAAAGAAGAGTAGGATCCTAGACGATATGGTACAGACGTTAGTCTTCAATCTCTTTTATAGTTTGATAAATTGTTGATAAAGAAATGTACTATGCTTGTCAAAATTTATGCCACTGGTCACTCGCAGAGATTTTTAGAAGTACAATTATAATTATGACTATTCAATAACAAAGAAATGATCGTCATAACTTCATAGAAAATGAATTTGAAGAGCTGCTGATCTCTGTTGAGGACAGTACAATCCCACCGAAAGTTTCATAGATACTATGGACATAGCAATAAAAGGAAATTAGGAAGCAACTATGGACCAGAAATTATAGCAGGGAACATAACATGAATAGATGACATGCTGTCAAAATTTAGCACAATATATATTTTTTTCTCACAATACCTTCCGGAGTACAATAGATAAGGAGAAACCTTTCCGACGTCATTTCGGCCCAAATCAACCAGCATAACATGTTCTGCACATTGCTTTTCAAGCATCATAAATTCTAACATCTCGTCCTCAAGAGGTGTCTTTCCTCTTTTAATAGTTCCAGCCAAGGGCTGATTAACAATCTTTTTCTGTCAAGAAGAATGCCATAGAAAATTTATGTTGGTATTTGCCCTAAATCTACAAGTGCTATGGAAGTTACAGAAGAACTTGAAGATATCAAAGCATTGATGATATGTGGATTGTAAAAGTAGCCTCACACGACCTGTTAGATTAGGAGAAATGGGAACACAATTTTACCTTTTTGATACAAGTAAGAACTTCTGGGCTAGAAGCAACCAAAATACACCCTTTAACCTGACCTGAAGTAAGAATCCACGATAAGATTCGGCATCAGCCTTATTATTTGATTAAACGAAGGATAGTGATAGTAAAAGAGGAAAAAAAAAACCTGCAAATAACTCATGTATGGACTAGGATTCACAACTCTTAAAGCTCTGTAGATTTCAAATGGGTCAGCAAATGTACTTCTTTCAAAGTGTTGACTTAAGACAATCTGGAAGATATCCCCTGCTAAATATTCTCCTTTGCATGTACAATGGCATTCTTATATTCCTCACTTGGCATGTTACTCTTGTTTAAAGTGAGTCCAAAATTGTGATTGTGCAGGTCGATGAAACCTGGAGATAGCCTTGGACTAACATATGATGATAAAAGTTACAGATTAGTAAGTGTAAATTACGTTTCTGACAGTCATTTTCAAGATAAGATATCACTTTTACTTACGGATCAACGTCTTTAACTCTGGACACCAATTTTTCCAAGCGTGCAATTCCATGGTTGTAAGCCTTCTCAGCGGACGAGAATCTATTTAAACGGACCCAATGAAGCACAAATACTTTCTGCACCGACAAGGGGAATTGACAAATAATCTCAGTTATATATACAAATACAAATATAAGAATGAGATATACAGATAGACAAAACTACGTAGAGTGATGCAGAGAAATCTGACTAAACCAATATGGAATTGATGAGACCTGTTTTTAATAAGTAATGGGAGGAAATTGTTAGTATGCGTAATTAAGTCCATGTCAAACATTTCAAATTTGACAACCGTTTTGTCATAATTGATTTTGTGCTGCTGGGGTAAGAAGTTCTATTTTTGTCCATAGAAAAGGGGGAAAAAAGTTGAGCTAAAATCCATACATTTTGATTAATAGTCCCTTACCTTCTCTACATGATCAAACACAATGACATCGTCATAGAGTCCAAGATGAATATCAGCAAGATTTCTATCATCTCTTGGTGCACTCGAGAATGAAAGCCTTTTCTTCTCTAGATAACGAACCGTATCATATGAGAAAAAACCAACCCATCCACCTGCTCAAGAACACAAGGAAATTAGAAGGATATCTTTGATTATGTACATGTACACGAGTAGTTGAACTCAAGAAACAGCACAAAAAAGTGACACTTCAAGTGCCACCAATTTCAATTTTTTGGTCTTAATATACATGTATCTCTGTGCAAAGATATACATGTAAACTCAACTACGACAAATATTGCAATAATCCCGTTCCTAATGTCCTATAAGAACCTCAAGCATTCACGTTGAGTACCTCTGAGTACGTCAAGTATCAGATGTAATTCATAGAACCTCTAGATCTGGTACATGTAGACAAGAAAAAAATTAATTTTATGTTTTAACCACTTTTCAGTGATATACTGTAAAATGGCAGGGTGTATAAAAATTCTCAAGTTGGCTATCCTCGTCCAAGATTCCCTTTTAACTTCATCATTAAAGCCGCATCCAAGTTTCGGGTTTTAGATGGTTGCATTTTGAATAGTTGAAGTAAAATGAAAAGTATGCAATGGATGTTACATGTATAGCATAGAAGTATTGAACAAGTGAAGTTCGTGCATTTTCATATGGAAGTCATTGACCTACCAAGAAAGTCAGTTAGGACACGTAAAATCTCATTAAACATTTCAAACATTCAATGAACAAAATCACGTATTATTACATCTAAGTCTCACCACAAAATGCATCAGGAAGTTCTTCGATCAGTTGTGGTCTCCAATCCTCTGAAATACTTCTTGGAATCATCATTGGGTCCTCTACGAACTTCTCAATCGTAGTCCCTCCTTCATGGTCCATGACTGTGACCTTGCTCTCTTTTGCCACTATTTCCATTGTCGGCTGCGCCCCTACCACGCTATATCGGCCCTAAATAAACCATGGCATAAGAATTTAGAGGAATCTCCGAATAAGCATGTATGTGGTCATTTATATCCAATCGAATGAAGAATTTTGAGCAAGAACTAATTTTCTTACAACAGTGGTTGTGCGGTAACCAGGTTTAACAGATTCAAAGAGGAAGCTCGGAGCCTCTCGTTCATCTTCCTTAACCAAACATCGATAAGCAAGCACGGGTGTCAACTGATCCGAGAAAATGATTTCGCACAAAGGAATTAAATTCCCATTTTTTGATGCTTCAATGAACCTCTTCTCATCCAAAACTGAGATTTAAAAACAAGGCAGAGGAACAACGTTAAATTCAAACATAATCCAAATTCTTGTTACCATCTAACAACATATGAAAAAATAAAAACAAATGCTAACGCTAAAATTAGATCATCATCAAACTCTTGTTTACCCATTTAACAACTAATGAAAAAAGAAAAATAAATTTTAAATTACAATTTTTTTTTTTTACCAGTACGATCATAATCGAAACTCTTTTTAACTCTCAATTGAACTGGGAAATAAAAATCAGAAAATTTATAATCGGAATTAGAATTAATTTCATTTTCCTGCTCTTCATAGTCTGAAAAGTTAATTCTGTAAATTGACTCCAGAAATTCAGAAATGCATGTCCATGCAACAGGCAAATTGCAAAAACAATTAAATGTATGCAAATAAATATACAGACAGACACGCCCATACACACATATGGTTACACACACAGACACACTTAAATGCAGAGAGATAAACCTAAAGATGGAGACTGAACGGAGCAGCATTGGAATGTACGGAACCCAAATGAAACGAACGAGCTTGACCTTCTTCTATTCGAAATGCCAGTTACCGGAGACATCCGGTGGTTCACCGGTGACGGCCGGTGTGAAAAAGTTGGTGCTTGCATTTTCCAAGCTTTACGTTCAACACAAAATGTGTGACTAACTGAGTTTGAGTTTGAGAAGAGAGAGTGTGTGTAAATTTGAGACAATGACTCCTTATTAGCATTTCCTCCTGTAAATATTAATTGAGAGCGGTTTTGTCAGATGGCATTCAACGTGTTGTTCTTTTCTCATACGTGGCCTACCAACTGTTTTGTAGCAAAAAAATCAATAAATTTTATTTCTTCTAGTTTCAATGAATTGAAAAGTTAAAAGTTACTCACGAAAGTAAGAAATTATTTATGAAAAAACTTTTGGAGGTACTCATTTGACTAGAAGAGTTTTAGAAAAAATTTGTCGGTGACGTTTTACAAGGGTAATTAGCAGGTAAGTCTTTATCTTTCATTATTATTGTGAAAAACGTTATTATTTTTCTTTTTTAGTATTTTCACATTTATTTCTACATTACGAAAAAAAGTCATTTTTATCCATTTACTTAATTAAAAGTTATGAAATGACGAATATACTCTTCCATTTAATTAAAACAAAAAGAAAATGAAAGAACTAATTGCATTCATAATTTTAATTTTTTAAAAAAAGTGCAAACGAGTCCGAAATAAATTATTAAAATGGTAATTAGCACAAAATATCAGTACATTTCACTATTATTATGAAAATCGCCACTACTTTTCAATACTTGGCATTTTCACCCTTAATTACACATTTAATTACGCAAACCATCATTTCAACCAATTTTCATCCAATTTCTCAATAAAAAATTGTAAAATGACGAATATATCCTCTTATTTAAATAAATAAATAAATAAATAAATAATTTTTTTTTTTAAATTTCTAATTTTTTAAATAATTAATTTGGGAGTTGTTTGCACTTTTTAAAAAGAAATTCTAATTTTTGAATAATTTATTTGGGGTTCGTCTGCACTTTTTTAAAAAAATTGGATTATAGTTGAAATTACTTCTTTATTTTTGTTATTTAAATAAGATGGTATACTCTTGATATCACAACTTTCTTTAAAAAAAATTTAAATAAGAGGATACGAAGATGATAGAAGGTTGAAAGGACTCCCAAGTTTTAAATAAGAGGAAATTACATAAAATCAGGGGTTTAGTTTGACATTTTTAAAAATCAGGTTTTAAGTTTATTTTTGCAAAAATCAAGTAATATATTAAAACCTTAATTTTTAACCTAATTTATCAATTCCGTCTCCACCATTCCCGTGGCCTCCCCTTCTCCCTCTTCTCCTCTCCCTCCCTCTCCACCTCCCTCATCTTCTCTTCCTCCAAACTCGAGTTGTCCTCTGCACCTTCTGCATATCCAACACAAAGCCCCAGCAGACTCTTGATAGCAGCATCTAAATTATTGCCAGATTCTTTCAAAACTTTCTCGAGGAGCTCACTATCCATAGTAGGAAACAAAACCTTGAGTTGATCGATAAGACTCCTCGGCGGCGAGTAGGAGAACCGAACCGGGGACGTGGCGGATGAGTAGCAACGTTTCTTGGAAATCAGTGGTGACCTCGACATCGGCGATGACGTTTTAGTATCTTCTCGAAGAAAGATCTCTTTTCGCACACTATTGCAAACATTATTCAAATCTGATACAGATGAAAAAATTAACGAATCCCTATTTCCAGATCTCTTCTTTTCCCAACTGAATTGAATCAAATGAACAAATAAGGAATTAGGATTAGGGTTTGGACGGTGCCTTTGAAGGTGATGGGTAGTGGTGTGGCGGTGCTTGGTGTTATAGTTGGTGGTGACGGCGATTTTGTTGTTGGTTGTGCGCAATGGCTGTGGCTTGGGGGTGGTCATGACGGCGGTCATGGGTGGGATGAGATGAGTTGGGGTGGGTGTATGTGACCTAGAAATTGTGATTGTGACTCATTGTAATAGAGTTATGACAAGTAAAAAGTTTTGATTTTTTCAATCTGTGACCTATTAAAAAATTTAATTTGTAGTTGAGAAATAACATGTGACCATAAAATTCTTGATTTGTAACCAATGAAGTTAACCGTGACCTATAAATTTTTTGATTTGAAATCTCGAAATAATCCGTGTCCAATTAATTTGATAAGCTGTGACCTAAAATTAATTTTTAACTAATTAATAAGATATATGTTATCAAATTACACAATTAAATATTTCATTAATTAATAAAAAGTAGAAACCTGATTTTTACAATTTTAAAGTTTAGCACCTGATTATAATTAATTAATAAAAAGTAAAAACTTGATTTTTGCAATTTAAAAACTTTAGCACTTACTTTTTGCAAATGTCAAAGTTAATACCCGATCCATGAATTTTTCCCTCTAAGTAATTTAGGGTAAATTTCGAAAATCTCCCATGAGAATTATGATAATGTCAGAATTATCCTCTCGAAGTTTAAAATTTTCAAAATCCTCCTATAGTAGCATAAATTTCTTATTTTACCTATTTTCTTATGTTAGATATAAAATGATATTTGTTTTCTTATTTATCTTTTTCATAAATTATTACATTTAATATAATTTAAAAAATAACCAATATATTTTTTCTTATAAATGAATAACATTGGTACACTAATTATTATATTTTTTGTATTTTAATAAGAACATCTTAAATTTAATATAGTATATAATGGAAAAATGCAAGCCTCCACAACGCTTCGTGTTTATGAAATTGCAGCTGGTTTTATAACCGAAAGCCTCCTGAAGTTTGCAAGTTTGAGAATAAAGCACGAAGAGTGCCAAAAATGGTCATTTATATCCTCTCACCGTTGACCTTCCCCAATTTTAAGTCTGAGGATTTCATTTTTTGCTCTCATTATGAAAAAATTAGGTCTGGTCGTACATTTGTTAGCATAAAATTGCAAGTGTACGATATCGTGCAAATTTTATGGTTAAAGAGTAATGTGTTGATGACATTAGAACTGAGATGATAATTATTAACCTACTCAACATTACTAATTATTAAAATCGTTGCGAAAATCTAAATGGGAAATTTTTTTTTTTTTCCTAAACTATTTTTAAACTATAAGACTAATTGCGGAATCAGTTACATCTGATGTTGTTAACACGACTACGCTGCACCAAAACAAAATTTCTTGTAAATATTTCCATCACCTGATTTTTCTATTATTCAAAAAATATTAATAATGAACCTAATTTCCTCCACTTTGGGAAGAACATATAATTACATAAGTTTTAACATACACTTTCAAAAATAAGAAACTTGTGAAAAAATTTCAAAAATCAGACGGTCACAACATCTCACAAATGTCACACAATTATGGTCAAAGTCACAAAGATAGAAATTATGAGTTACAATTACAAATTTAATCATCATCACACATTTTGTAGGTCATATATTGTTTATTGGTCACAAATTACACATTCTATCGGAGTATCGGTCACATATTATTTATTTGTAAAATTATTCATTTTATTAGTCCCAGTTACTCAAATAATTGGTCATCTCATCCCACTCAACCACCATCGCTGCCACTGTCACCAACAACCACCATCATTTGCAAATTGACCCCATCTAAAATTGCAAGCAAAGCCCTGCAATCTCACAAATTATACTAAAGGCCTCATCCCCAAATCCTAACTCAAACGCTTTTTTCCTTCCTTTCCTCTATAGCGTTGACTATCCGTAGGCGGTGCTACAAACACACAGCTCAACAAAAATGGTAAAGATTTTGAAATCAAACGAGGTGGTGGTCCTCCTACAAGGGGCATTTCGCTCGCCACAAAGCCATCATCGAAGAAGAACTTAGACAACCTTTGGGCATAGTGTTGTTACAAACACACAACTCAACAAGAATGGTGAAGTTTTTGAAATCGATTAAGTTGGTGGTCTCTCGTAGGAGCGGATAGCACCCTTAAAGCCACCATCGTGAAAAATTTTGACGACGATATTCGCGGCCGCAATGATGGCCATTACTTGGTCACTAGTATTGCCAACTACCCTAGCAAGGTCACCCACAAGTATTCCGCCAAGAAGTTGAGCGTAGAGGCATTTGTCAAGGCCAAGAAATAGAACGGCAGGATAGCTTACGTGGTGGTGATGGGCAGTTATCGGCGACGGTAGATGATGGTGATGGGTGGCAATTGTGGTGGTGTGGGTGTGATTGTGACTTGAAAAATGGGTAAAATAATAAATAAGGTTTGTGGTTGATGAGTGGGTGGATGGGGATGTGATGCACATTATTTTTTTAAATAAAAAACCTTAACACGTTATTTTTGAATTATAAAGTCGAAAAGTAGGCGTGATTGTAATTTGGAAAGATTGCATGACTAAGATGTTAGGTTTCACAAATTTCAAATTTAAGAGATTAATATTTAAAATTTCAAATTTCAGATTTTATTTATAAATAAATAAATTAAACATATATTTTATTAATTAAATATATTAAGGTTACAATTCCATATAATTTGGTCACAAATTTCATATAATTGGTCACATATTATTAATTGATCACAAATCACAAATTTTACATGTCACAAATTATTTTGCGATCACAATTCAAAAATTTTATAGGTCACAATTTGTTCATCGGCCACAATTAAAAAATTTATGTCATAATTTGTTAATTGATCACAAATCATAATTTTTATATGTCACAAATTATTTTATAGTCACAATTCAAAAAATTTATAGATCACAATTTGTTCATCGATCACAAATCAAAAATTTATATATCACAATTTATTCATCGGTAAAAAATCTATCAAATTAATAAGTCATACATTATTCATTGATCACAAATCACAAATTTTATATTTCATAAATTATTTTATAGTCACAATTCAAAAATGTTATAGGTCACAATTTGTTCATCAATCACAAATAAAAAAATTATATGTCATGTTGACCCCCAAAAATGAACTCAACAGATACCGCGTCCACTCTTGCCACGTCAAGTACGATTCCAGCACGTCTTTACCGGAATAGGAACGGTAATCCAACTATAGTGAACGTGGGAGGCACTTTCAAAAATGTTAAGGTTCCGACGATATGATTCCAGGACAATCACACTATCAATGATCTCCTTTGAACGAAAAATGATAATGAAATATGTGGAAAGATAGATATGATGAGTAGATGAGTTCCCTCTTTTTCAGTAAGAATTCAAATGTTTGTATATGTATTTGTCTATTCTTTACATCAAATCTAGTGTGAGGCAGCGTCGATTTCATGAGTTTCGGACGAGTTTGAAAGAATCTCGAATTGGGTTGTGCCTTGTCTTTGAAGAGGTGCTTCAGGCCAAGGTTTGTTACTGTGATAGCTTCAGATGCTGGGTTAAGGACCTTGGCCTTTTTCCTCACTGGGACTTCTGACCTATTGGCCTTACTTTTGACCATCGTTGACCGTTCTGCCACATGGCGTAACACGTGGCTTAGCCTCTTTAGACCTCGGAATCTAGGGGTAACAATAGTCCCCCAAGTCTAGGTATGATTATTTATGTAATGCATGGACTTGAAAATGAAATTTAGTGATGTATCTTCAGATAATAAGAAGTTCCTTTAGAGTTTCGACAACCGGGATGCTCTCTTAAAGCTTCAGAAAGTAGGATGCTCTCTTAGAGCTTTGTGCTCTTTTAGAGCTTTCAGAAAGAAGATGCTCTCTTAGAGTTTCGACGACCGGGATGCTCTCTTAAAGCTTCAGAGTTTCGTGCTCTCTTAGAGCTTCGTGCTCTTTTAGAGCTTTAAGAAAGAAGATGCTCTCTCAGAGTTTCGTGCTCTCTTAGAGCTTAGAAAAATAGATGCTCTCTTAGAGTTTCGTGCTCTCTTAGAGTTTCAGAAAGAAGAATGCTCTCTTAGAGCTTTGGAAAACATACATGCTCTCTTAGAGCTTTGTTGACGAGATCCCTTCCTTCTAATGTTCTTAAAAGACTGAGGTTTTCTCCTTTGTTCAAAGTGCATTCATAAATTCGGATTTCAATAAGGTATGAAACTATGATCAGCCTCGAATTGATGGTTACGAGGATTTGTTATTTTCCCAATAACTCTGATATTCACGAGGTGTTTTGATCATGGAGCCTCAATGATTTGATGTTGTGGTACCTTCCCAAGAAAACAGCTGGGGTCATTTCAACTTCCAACACACGCAATAGCCGCCGCACTAAATGAGCAATGCTGATTGTTTCCCACGTTCTTCAACAAGATTTCAGACGCGTAGGGCGTGTGCGAGCCACGTTCAGATCTGGGCCTTTGAAGACCAAACGTCAAACGTAGTGGGTGGCTTGGATTACAAATCTATTGATCCATGGTTGGATGGTCCGAATCGAGATCCAATGGCCAGGGTTGAGTGGGTTTGCCTATAAAAAGCAGAGAACCTTTGGGGGAATTTCTTTCGACTTTTTGCACGTATTCTTGCATTCTTCCTTTTCAAGTTCCTGAATCCTTTGAACTTTCTTCTCAAAATTTCTCCAAGAGTTCTCATTTCTTTCTCTTATTATTTTCTTTGGAAAATTCGTAAGTATCGTAACTTTCTTCTTATTTGCAAAGTTGATGGCTATATCCAAACCATCGTGGGAACAA